GACCTAGCTGAAGCTGTACCTGCTCATTGCAGGGTAGGATGGGCTAGGCAATCCTTAATGGTCCCTTAGAACAAAAACTATTGGATGATTCTATGACTGCTGTGCAGGCTTTAAGGCTCATTAGGTATCCAGGACACAGAGTGAACCAAAAAGTCAAGTCTCTTGACAAAACAAAGAAAAAAGAATGCATCCTTGGGATAGCTAGCACTTTCAAAGGCAGAGGTGTCTATCCACATATCTTTATCAATGCTGCTGGAGAAAAGTGGAATCTCATTAAAACTGCACGGTCTAGTCCAGATACAATGTATTAGCACATCAATGGTATTTTATGGGCAGCTACAATCAAAAGAGCAGCAGAGATGAATAGCATTAGCAGTGGTATTTGGCTCCCAAGAGAGGGCCATGTGCTACACTGAACCTCACACAGAATCTGTGTCCAGCTCTTGGAGCCAAGAATCACCACTGAGCTTACCCAGCAATGGAGTTGCTGCAGCATACGCTGAACTTCCAAGACCTGTGTGCATTAAAGAGAAAGGGGAAGCTCAGAAGTTTGGGGGTTGTTACTATGGAAAATTTTGTGTGTGTTGGGTTTTTTTGGTCAGTTGTTTTTGCAGGGTGTTTTTTCAATACAGTGATTAAAAGATCTGCTTGGGTTTCTTTTTAAGCAGGAGCATAGATTTCTTTGGCTTGGGACAGCTTGAAGACGTGGGATCCCATGGGATTCCACAGCAAACTAATACAGGAGTTGAGCCAGATGATGAACAGATTTTTCCATTTCTTCTTTCATAATCATACCTTAGTTAGAACCATACTCCCCTCTTCCACCATGGGATCATTCTGCCCTTACACAGAGGTATCCTTTTCCTAAATAAAAAATCAGTAGAGGTCACCACACAGTAGATTTTGATCCTAGAGGTAAACAGTGCCATGCTTTACCTGAGAAAACTAAAAAAAGTGGGTGATTTCCAAGTTGTGTATTCAGAGTACCTTTGCACCCAGGACTAAGCTAACCTAAATTACCAGCAACTCTAAACAAGCTGAAGTAATTGCAAACCATGGGGTGAGCTAACAGATGGATGCCTTTTGGAGACACTGGGGGTGCGTGGTCCTGCAGCTCTCTTCAAAGCCAGATCTCTACTGAAATGAGTATGATTCACACGTTTTCAAAGGCACAGCAGAGCTGAAAGCATAGAGATTTTTCAAAAGAATCATGCCTGCAGGAACTGTCATTCTTCCCCACTGTCTTCATCAGTGCTGTCCTAAAGGAAGTCCTGTTTGGCATCAGGACTGTAAATATTCCCACAAGTTAACAATTTCATTTCATCCAATGCCCTGTTCTCAGCACTGGAGGAAATGCCTAGATAAAATAGTTTCAGTGAGCAAAGAGCAAAAGGCTGCCTCTCTTACTCTTTCTCCTCTAAACTGCTATGCTAAAGGCTATTTCTATATTTTTTTAACTCTGAAAATACACCTATTGCTCCATTCTGAGAATGCTCTGATTTAGGAGAAAAAGAATTGTTTTTCCTGAAGTCACATTCGAAAAATATGTATATATTACATTTATATAGCAGTAATATATACCACTCGTGTAGTACACTTTGTATAGTACTCATGTGATTTAAATACATGATTATTAATTTTGGTAATCCTAAAGTAGTAACAAATAGGTTCTTTCACATCATTGTGTGAAAACTTTGGAAAATAATCTTCCAAGCATAGTAGTATATTTTCCATTAGTACTACCAAACCTCAGTTTTCATCAAAAGAGTACTGATCCTTCCCTGGTGAGTTTCCAGGATCCCTGCTTCAAATATAATGGTATAGCTAACAAATGTTCAAAACCCAGATCCCCACATACTCAATTGCACTTTACTTTCACAAATACAAGTTCCATGATACCACTTGATTTCAACTTGCAAGCAGTAATTAAAAATCTAGTCCCAGAATCCAGTTCAATCCAAGTCACAACACATTACAGTATATGTACCTATCCATAGTGCATTTGAAAACATGGTATTTTTAAACTTTTCCAGGCTATCTTAGAAGAGCATCAAAAGTACAGTTCAAGACATAGACAGGTGGAAAATTATTTTCTATTAATGTTTTACTAAGAACAGAGAAAAAACCTTGTGTAGCTGTAATTCTTTGTAATACTTTGTGTCCTGCTTCACTTGGAGAAGCCATTGTGTATACTAGGCTAACAGTACATACAGTCCTAGTTCCTTCAATCAGCATTTAATTAGGCAGATTGTCCTTTTAGCAGAGACTATTTTTAATTTTGTTGGCCCCACACTTTGTATTTGCAAGTGTCATACTGGGTTCCCTGTTCCATGGCAGGGTCGAGCCATTATACTTAAAACAATATAATTTCTTTTTCATTTCAAACCCCACCTCATAGACTTTCAATGCTTCCTGCATCCTGCAACTCAGGCTTGTTTGGGTTGAGGTTTTTTCTTTCCTACTGTTTAATTTCACATGGAAATGATAACTGTGAAGAGAACAGTCTAATATGTATGACAGATACTTTATGAACACAGGAGATGAACTGCAAGTTCTCAGGAGCAGAGACTGTCTAGGCAAAAAAAGGCAGTAACTTTCAAAAATTCTCAAGGCAGACCAACAGAAGAGATTAACACCAAGTTTGTTTCCTATTCCTACTCCAAAGTCACTCACTAAAAGGATTTTTTCTTTTTTTTTTTTTTTAGTTGAGGAAACACCACGCAAAACTCATTCTGGTGCAACAGAAAATTACTTCCTCCTTAGTAGCACATTTACAGAGAAAGCAGATGATGTAGTTAACAGAATAATTAACAGAGGTAGGTAACAGGCTGAAAATGTCTAAGTTAAGGTTAGAAGAGGAACTGCACAGCACGCAGCTGGCTTTGAAAAAAAATCATACATGAGTCAAAGATGACATTCAACTCATGCCAATCCCATGACTATTTGCAGTTCAGGATCACACAACATACAACTTAAATACTTGGGAGATAAAGCAATGCTGTATGAGAGAATAATATAACACTCCTTGTACAAAGCAAATGAAAATATTCTATGGCAGAAGCATTACCAGGGTCTCAAACTTACTACATCAATGCTTACCATGATCCTACTCTTGGTTAAGCAGCCATATGCATTCCCCAGAAGACTTTCTTGGACACTCTTTCTTTGATAAAGTAGCATCTTTAAAACCATGTCTCAATTTGAAGATTACAATTTCTTACACAATTATTTACAAACAAAATCTGTTTTTCAAAATATAGATGTAACTAATTTTGTAGAACTGATACCTGAATTTATATTTTCAGTTGTCTGAGAACTCGAAAACAGAAGTACATTTAGTAATATTGACACAATGCCTTTATGAAGGGAGTTGTCTGTTAAACATTGTAATGTTACACAAAGAAATACACAAAGTCTACAGCTCAAAGGTTATGAGAAGTGGGTTGGCCTGTGCAACCTTAAAACAAACCAAATTTTCCTTGTAACCTAGGCTTGTATGATCTCATACCTGGTGCCAAAAACCACTGCATTAAAGCCACAAGAACTCATGTGTGAAGGCTTGAGACAGCCTTTATCCAGGAAATATGACCAAGTAGCCTAAAATAAAAGTCCAGCAGCAAAGCCAACTTAAGGAAAGGCTAACACCACCTGATCCTTATGGTGGGACCCAACCAGTGTACTCTGACTCATACATACTGGATTCATTCTTCCCATGTGGAGCTCTTCACTGATAGACATTGCAGTGGGTGAAATAACTGATAGAATTAATTCTCTAAGTGCCCAAAGACCACAGAAAAATTCATTCTTCACAGTACCCACTACGCTTCTTTGTAAAGATGAGTAGATGGTAATAGGTATTGTATTAAAAATGAAGGCAAACATATTCTTGGTGAACATCTGTGACTCTGCCCACATAAAAAACTCTAAACAGCAAAACCAGTTTCTCAGTGTAGAATTCAAATGCATTAACCTCCCTTTTCTTGCTGAAGTGCCCTTCTTTAATTGCTTCATCTCTCTAAATATCATCAACCAAAGCACTCAAACAATGACTCCATTTTCCTTATTCATCTTCAGAACAGTCCATTGCACACATTGAATAAATTAGTTTTTCTTATGAGAATACATTACTCCCCTCCACATTACAAATTTTCTGTAGAATTCAAGCACTTCTTACAAGATATGAAGGTACTAGAGTTACCAATGGAAAAGAGTTTTTTTTTAAAAGCTTGTCTTCAGTGCAAGAAAAATTAAGATTTTCACATTTCACATTTTACTGAAGTTTTCTGAGTGTTTTCCTGAAGAAGTTCATTACAGAGTGACACTGAGTAGATTGCAAAGACAAATTGTTACAGTTTTTCAAACTAAAAAATCAACAGAGGACAAAAGAACTTACCATAGAAAGTATAAAGTAATACTGAATTCACATAGTGATTTCTGCTTATAACAACAGAAATTATTTTTAATATTTTTGCTGGCATAGGGTCTGTTTCCTTCACAGCAGGTAATAAAGGGCTGTGTTTTGCACTTGTGCTGAAAATACAGGGATGCTTTTGTTACTGCAGAGCAGCCCTTGCACACAGTCAGGGCCTGTTTTGCTCCTCACATGACAAAGAAGTAGACTGGGGGGTGCATAAGGGGATAAGAGGGAGGGGACACAGTCAGGACAGGTGACCCCAAGGGATATCCCACACCCTATGGTGTCACACTTGGCACACCAAACTGGGAAAGAAGGAAAGCAGTGGGGGAATGTTCAGAGTTGTGACATTTGTTGTCCCAAGTCACCATTACACATGATGGAGTGAATGAGTTCCTTGTTTTGCTTTGCTTGTGTGTGGCTCAGCTCTTAATTTCCCTACTAAACTGTTCTCTCATCCCATAACTCTTCTCAGTTTTATCCTTCCAATTGTCCCCCATCCCACTGCAGGGAGTGAATGTTTAACCTCAGCTGAGGTTCAACCCCAGCTATTCGAGAGTGCAATTCAAAGCAAGTATTAGCTTACCTGACCAGAAAGCGATGCAGCCCAACGTCAAAACTTCTGTAAGAAAAAAAATACACTAAATTTTAATTATTAAAAAACACTACTCTGTTGACTTTTGTACAAACACTGTTTCAAAACAATAATACCAAATATAAAGTTACTAGAATTGATGAAGCAAAGAGCAAAGGTGTAACACACAACTTCCATTCTGTAATGATGTGTGGAATTTAAGATGATCATCATATGAAAAGATTTAGGTGCATGTTATAAAGCTCACAAATCTCTCGTTGGAGTATTTATTCAATGAAGTGTTAACATTCAGAGTATTATAACACACATAAAGCATAAAATATGTATATACTGTTACTGGAAATAATGTAAGCATCCTAGTCACCAGTATATTTTCTATTATATGCAAGTAGATCCTGTGTGCAAAATTGCTGTGGAGTCTCTTTCCCCTTTTCTGCTCTGTATTGCAGTAAAATGTAAGGGACTGTCGTGAATTCTCCCCACAATAAAAAATTATCAAAAATCCCTTATGTCTCCTTCAAATATAGAATTTCCAAGAACCAGACTTTGCAAGTGTGTTCCACTCATATCAGTAAGGAAGTTAACTTTGAGGACTTGTGACAGTAAGTACAAGTTAGATCACATTAAATTACAAGAACCATGTCTGAAATTTTCAGCCCAAACAACATACATTGACAGTAGCTGTCAACATTTCTTCCCCTTTTCTGGTTCCTCCTTCCTCAGGAGAACCAAGCTCATGAACAATGCACTGGCAAATCCTTGACACTACAGAAAGGCATCTGCTGATTTGAGACATTTACCTAACATCTGAAGTATATGCCAGCTTTATGGGACTATCCATATAATCCCAGATTAGCTGTGTGCATCATGGCACAAATGGAAAATGCAAGTCTCTTATTCCCAGTACTGGACTTGCTCTGGAATGGGCTTATATTTCACATACACAGAAAAGATTTTGGCACATACTAAGCTCTTGAGCATTCTGTTCTAAAAAACCTAACTGGTCATTTTGAGTACAACACAGTTTATTGTGCTTGCTGTGTGCTGCTTTCTAACTGAAAGAGCAAGAGAAATCATCAGATTGTTAATGGCATCCTGATAACAGCAGACAGATAATGAACTGCAGAAATTCTGGGAGTTAACAGGGAAGGAAACTCCACTTGTTCAGCAGGGTAGATAGGAGAGCAATGAATATCTCACTGAAAAGCTGCCTTGCAACAGAAAAACATCCTGCCAGAAACACGTACCTGGTCATCATTAAATCTGTATTTTTCATAACCCTTCCCTGAAATCATTCCACCTTTTATATTAGTGTTATATTACTGTGCAATTAAACTGCATGAAGTGCATACAGTTATCTTTCTGCATTCTTCCTGCCTAGATACATACTGTTTTGGCTCCCTCTCTTCACCAAAACATTCTGTGTGGTACAGACAGTTTTCTATACTGGAGCTGGACACAGTCTGTATTTTTAGCTCTGAAAACCTTTTCTTCCTAGGACCAAGCACTCGGAACGTTTGTGCAGGAAAGGGGAGAAGAAAAAACTTGCACAGTTTCAGGAGAGAGCTGTATGCTAAACAGCCACCTTGCACATCTTCAGCCGGGCTGATCTTTTCAAGCTCTCCCAGCTGCTCTCCATGGCAATCACCAAACCTGCTACAGTCTCTGACAGGACACACACACCAAGCTGCTTGTGGACAGGGATGTGGAACATAAAAATATCACTGTTTTTGACAATGAACCAAAAGCCAAAGGAGGTGGCTTACCAAAAGCAGGAAAAGTGAATGGTCCTGCTAACTTGAGATATCAGAGCTGAAGGAGATTGGGGTGGACAAAGCTGAGGCAGAGTGGGTTTAGACAGGGAAGGAAACAAGACTGTTTGCTGGAGATGCCATGACATGCCACCTTTTCCCTCATTTTTCACTCTTTTCAAAACATCATTTTAAAAGCATATATATTGATATAAAACATATATCTAAAACACTTGATATTAGAAAAGTTTTATAAGTTTATTTCATAGGGGCTTTAGCCATTGGATATATTGTGGAAATATTTTAATAAGTATAAAAAATAAACATGCATAGAACCAATTTATTATAATAAATAACAAGAAGGAAAATTTATCAGAGTCTCACTAGATATAATTCAGCATACACAGGGTCCATTATTCCTCAGTTTGATTTTGTACTGATACATTTCAAGAGTCTACCTAAGATCCTGAATTCTGAACAGTGTAAGCAGCCCTTTAAGATATAACTACACTATGACCAACAGAATTTTTACATTATACAGCACAGTCTGAGTGTACAGCTAGATCTTAAAGACACTTTGAGACAGCATCATTGATTACTTCCAAAAGCAGGAATATCAAGGATGAACAAGTTCACATTGTAAATGGGAGAAATGGCTGCATTACTTAAGGCTATGGGTATTGTCTAGAGACACCTGGGATAATGAATAGAAACATTGTGCAAGGCAAAAACACTGAAAGAAAGAATTATGGGAGACTGATTTTGACAAAATATTACTACAGACACTTTTTACTATTTTTCTCTTTCATATTTAAATACACACTGCAGTTAAGTCCACAAGTAAAGTGAAAATATAGTGAAGCACCAATGGAAACAGTTCTAGCAGAAGCAATTAATCCCTCCACTCTTAGATGGAAATGCTAAAAAGAGGTAAAAGAGGGTTTGTACAGCAGTGTTAAGGCTGTAACTTGGGGTGAAATAAGCAACTTCATCGAATTTAAAAAGAGAACAAATAATCACAATGTATTTGCATTAAAAATTTCATAGTGATCCCTTCAACAGAGGACTCCACCCATCAGGGATGGCAGTGTCCCCCACAATCAGCATACAATTAGACCTGCCATATGCACACTGACAGGATTGTCTACTGCCTACAAAAGATGCCCATATTTACTTGATTTTAAAACAAAGTTTATAACCAACTTCACACAATTTGTTAAATCCTGAAGTTCCCTGCAAAATACAGGATTTAGCTGGTAGTTCTTGCAATTTAGGGTGCCTCAGTCACATAAATTTCAGAAATGCCTCAGTTATGTAAGTTTCAGAAATGCTATAATGAGTGCAATTTTTCAAAATACATGGTTTCATTAAAGTCTAAAATAACAAGAGAAAGGATATCCTCAACTATATGAGTAAAAAATTTTTTACCAGTTAAATTCTCTACATTGCTCAAATGTCAATAGATATATAGTATTTCAAATTTTGGAGAAATAAGTAAAACCTAGTTTATCAAAATAGCAATGGTCTTAGAACCAAGCAAAATCTTAACTAGCCAAAGGAACAATAAAAGGGATATATATTTAACCTCAATTTCATAATCATTATAGACAGCACAGACAATTTGATAGCTATTTTCTTTATAAAAGCATCCCTAATTCTGCTCCTCTGTAAGGCAGTTTTAGATCACAGTTCTTACACAACTTTCATGCTTTTCTTAAGCATGGAAGCTCTAGTTTGATACAATTCAATGAAAAATTACACATACAATCCCTCATTATCAAGCTTGTCTTTTCCCAGTACATCAACTACAGATTGGTGACCAATAATATACAAACACTAAACCAACAAAGACCTTTTCCAAAATACAATCTTTGAAAATGTATCTGCAGGAGAAAAATGTATGATTGCAGGCAGAGGCTTCAAAATTATTTCAGATGTGCAGTTTCTGCTCCGAAATGCAGAATGCAATATGCATTATGCAATAACCTGTCTTCAATTTTCATTCAGAACAAAGATGATAAGGAAAAATTTTAAAATTTTAAGCACATAGCATCAGGTGGATTGTTTATAATCCCACTTCCCACAAAACTGTGCCTTCCTTTAGCTGAAGTCTAAATGCTGGTTCTTCAAAAGAAGAATTGTGTGAGCCTCTAGTACACAGCTTTTCTATTCAATCAAGTGCACCAGCCTATTGTATTTAAGGACTTGCCTAGATGAAAACTGCTACTCATTAGCTGTGTTAGGTACTACAATTCACAATTCCAGCCTGATGACTGAGGACCCTGATTCTCACAAGGTCTGATTGTGAGATCTCATTCCCGAGGGTTTACAATGATATAAAAACATGTAAATACTGAACACATGCCAAGATTACAAGAATCAAAGTTAAGCCAACTACTAGAGCCATATTTTATGAATCCAATTCCAATAATGTCTATTGCCCAACTCTGATTTTGTGCATCCATATTTTTAAGCCATATGCTGAAGAGAAACCAGTACAGCTTTATCTCCTGTCAGTTCTGCCCCAGGACTGCTGGGCTGCACGCTGTTCCTGGAAACAAAGTACAGTGTGCAGCATCATCGGGAAGTGCTTGGCTAACCATGGACTTCAGAAAGATGTTCTGCAAGCAGTCAGTACATCAGCACTCAAAATCAGATAGTGGCCTGGTTCTTACTCTGGGCCCTACCTTCAGAGGAGTAGAGCTATGTAGATAGCTTGCCATTTGTAAAAAGAAAAACAAAATTTAGTAACTTAGATGGAGACAGGCAACTGTGACACTGTGTACCCAGAGACTACACTGTATTGTAGACAGAAATATCCCAGACACCTTAAAAACAGTCATGTTGCCACTGAACATAAACAACTTTGAATGCATAAAGGAATGGTGTAATTTCTATAAGCAGGACAGGAGCAAACAATATAATTACACTTAAATCTCTTCAAATCAGCCTGCTTGCCATTTATGGCAGTGATGAAATCCAGCAAGTGGGTTATTTATTAGAGTTTCAGCACTCTGGGTATTCAACATCTCTTTAAAAAAGCATTGTAGGCACTGCAATGTTTCAACAATGGTTCTTGGCCCTTTCTTTAAAATGTGGCTGAACCTGACACTAGGAAGTCAAACCCATTCCCATAGCCTCAGAGCAGCCTGTCCTATTGAACTGCAGAATTGTTTGCAAGACTAGAACTTCCATTGGCTGTCTTTGCAAATAAATGTGGCATTTAGCCAGAGAGCTGCTGAGCAAGAGTCTCTCCCACACCAGAATATTTTGCAC